AAAAAAAAAAAAAAAAAAAAAAATTGATTTGTTTTCATTAGCAGTATTTTCTTGTTTATGTTTAATTGATAACAGAAGTAGTTACTAATTTTTCAGAATGAAAACTACGTTTCTGTCCTTGGCCCCTCCCTCTCTTTGAGATTAAGGTCTTTAAGCTGGCCTTGAGATCACATGTTCAAGCAATCCTTCCACCTCAGTGCTGCCCACTTTCCCATTTTTCTTAAACTTACAGTCTGAAAAGAACATTCATTCATTCATTTTATTTTCTTTTATTCCCATACTCTTAAGATAGGGTCTTAAGTTCTCCATTACCATTATGTGGCTGAGGCTGACCTTAAGCTTCTCCTGCCTCTGCTTCCCTAGTGCTGACATATGCCACCATGCCCAGTTTATGCAGTGCTGGGCATCAGACTCAGGCTTCATGCATGCCTAGGCAAGTGCTCTATGTGCTAAGTATGTCCCCAGCCTCTTCCTGCGCTTATAATGTTCCTGAGCATGATATCCATGTACTGCACCATCTTATGTAGTTGTAAGTGCATAAGATTTTAGTGCCTGCAGGGATTGGTGGTCTAGAACCAAGCTTGCCTTTTCAGGAACCAAATGGCAACTATATTACTTTTAGGTGGATTTAGCAGTACATTGCAATAGACTAATTTGCCATCCCATATTTCTGTATACAGCATAACCTCCAGATCTGTGGATCACTTGAGTACATTAGGATCTGAGTTTTACTGGGCATATGGGATATAGTTGATTTATAATAATAATGGGTGTTTGGCATGTTCTACAGTTCACCTGACTAATTTCCCTAGAATCTTTTCTTTTGTGATAACTATTGTCTAATCAGTTGTCAGGTTTTTTTTTTTTTTTTCATGTTTTGCTCATTTCTGGTAGAAGGATAAATCCAGTTGTCACTAAATCTTGGTCAGAAGCAGAAGCCTGGTTGGATTCTTATTTTTGAAGCAAATTGTATTGTACTTCACTGGGTCATATTTGGGATTGGGCTGTTTGTGGATTCATGCCTCTTTATTGCTTTCTTCCATAATTGTTTCTCACTAGAATGAAACTAGGATTTTTTTTTCTTTTTTAAAACCCATTTGCTAGCCTTGATAGCCCACTTCTTTAATCCCAGCATTCAGGAGCAGAGGCAGGTAGAGCTCTCTGAGTTGGAGGCCATCCTGGTCTACATAGTGATTTCCAGGCCAGCTAAGACTGCATAGTGAGACTCCCATCTCAAAGGGGGCAGTGGTGGGGGTACGACATGGACTTCATGTATTTAGAGAGAGGGAGGGTGAGGAGAAGTAGTGTCTCAGATGTGGAGGTGTGTCCAAGTTCTAGTTACTTGGAGGATTGCTTGAGCTCAGAGTTCAAGATCAGCCTGGGCATCTTAGCAAGTTCCATCTCTTTAATGTTTTCCCTGAATTTGTCTCATCCATTTCTCAATCGTGATGTTTTGTTTAGCATAGTCCTAGTAGCAGTGGGCTGTCCATTTATTTATACCATTATAGCTGGAGTGTGTTATGGGTACATCATCTAGGATTGTGTAACTGTCTTAGTTACTTTTCTACTTCTGTGACAAACACTGTGAACAAGACAACTTACAGAAGAGTTTATTGGTGCTTTCAGTTCCAGATAGTGAGTCCATGATCATCATGCAATGGGGCATGATAGCAGGCAGGCAAGGATGGCACTGGACCAGTGGCTGAGAGCTCACATCACATCACAAGCCCATCTCTAGTGACAACTCCTATACCTTCCCAAACAGTTCTACCATCTGGGGACCAAATATTCAAATCCAAAGATGCTGTTACAAAAAGAGTCTAATAACAAATTGCTTAGAATATACTTTCGATGACAGAATGTTTTTCCTTTAACATGACAGTCACTTTTGTCCTGTAATGCTTAAGATTTCTGTTAAAAAAGAAAAGAAAAAAGGTGGTTCAGTCAGTAAAGGGCTTTGCCACACAAGCATGAGTACCCAAGTTTGGGTCCCCAGAACCCATGTCAAAAAAAGAAAAAAAGAAAAACCTAGCACCTGTAATCCCAGTGCTGGATTAATGAAAACAGGATGTCTGTGTTAGTCAGTGAGAGACCCTGTCTCAAAAAGTAATGTGCAAGCTGGGCAAGGTAGCACACACCTTTAATCCCAGCACTTGAGAGGCAAAGGCAAATGAATCTCTGTGAGTTCAAGACCAGCCTGGTCTACATACTGAGTTCCAGAGTTCCAGGATAGTCAATGACTCCATACAGAGTCATCTCAGAAAAACAACAATCAAAAAACTAGAGGAAGATGCTGGACATTAGGCTTCTGTACACAAGTACACTGCACATATACACAAAGAATAAATTTATGTAACAGTAAACCTGATACTAAGTCACTTTATGACATTATTCTCAGATCTTGTGAAAAGTTATGTGCCAAGTTACTGCTTGCGCTTTTTCTAGGAAGAGTTTTCTGTTTAAAGATTGAAATGATCATATGTGTTTGATCAACCTATTGATTTATACCCAGAGCTAAAACCTAGAATGGTAACAGTGAACAGTCTCTGTCTGTCTGTCTCTCTCTCTCTCACAGTCTCTATCTCTGTGTGTGTCTGTTCACTCTAAATATTTTCAGAACTTTGAGAAACAGAAAAAAAATCTTTTAAGTAAGGTATTATATGCTTTGATTTTTTTCCCCCCTGTGCTCTGATTTTGTTCCTTCAGTTGGTGTGTTTGTCTTATGTCAAGGTCTTACAGAAACATATTTTCTTTCAGGATATACTTCTTATAAATGTGGTGACTGAACAAATGATCTGTGATACTGACCCTGAACTAGGAGGTGCAGTTCAGTTAATGGGAATTCTTCGTACTCTAATTGATCCAGAGAACATGTTGGCTACAACTAATGTAAGAACTCACACTGAGATTAAAGGTGTTTTGGCCTTATAAGTCTTAAATGGTTTTATAATAAGATTTTAGAAACAACAAATTCTTTGAAAAGTATTTGTACTTAAAAACCAATGGTATTCTTACAATGAATTTTCAGTAAATACAGCATTGTTATCTCTTCAGCTCCTTTTTTGTTGTTAGCTTTTTCGTTTATTTGTTATGGGTAGAGGGTATGCATGGAGATCCAAGGATAACTTGCAGGCAGTAGCTCTGTGCTGCCACCACATGGGACCCACAGATGAAACTCAGGCTCGGTCATGATTGACAGTGGTGCTTTTCTCTGCTGAGCCCTCACTGGCCCAGGAATATTAGTTAGATTAGGAATTTAGTTTTTGTTCTTTGGCTTCTATATGATAACTTGTTTAAAAACTTTGTACACAGCATTATTTTTTAATAATTTTTTTGGTTTTTTGAGACACAGTTTCACTATGTAATCCTGGCTGTCCTGGAACTCCCTCTGTAGACTAGGCTGGTTTAAACTCACAGAGATCTACCTGGCTCTGCCTCCCAAGTCCTGGGATTAAAGGCGTGCGCCACCACTGCCCATAAAAAAATATAATAATAATTTTTAATAATAGTTTTTAAATAATACTGGACTATATTTTAAGATAGCAAACAGGGTAGCAAATTTTATTTTACGTGGTCTTATCATAATAAAAAGCAAGAAAATTGATGTAAACCAATGAGGTTTTTTTGTTGTTGTTTTTTTATTGTTGTTTGTTTTTGGACAAGGTTTCTCTGTGTATCCCTGGCTGTCTTAGAACTCACTCTGTAGACCAGGCTGGACTTGAACTGACAGAGATCCGCCTGCCTCTGCCTCCTGAGTGCTGGGATTAAAGATAAGCACCACCACTGACCACTCAACTCTTTTTTTTTTTTTTTTTT